GTTTTTAACGTACCACTTGTCACGTGATCTTATCATTGCACGTGCATGTTCCCATCAACTGTTCAAAGTAAAAAAAACAACACTTTAAAGCTCTATTCCAAACAGCCAATTCTTATGCCGCGCTTCTCAAATATGCAGCGTGAACGTCAGTAAGTGACGTTGCAAGGACAAAGGGGTGCAGCCATCGGACTGTTTATGATGTACAGATTCGACTGCAACACACTGGCACCACTGTTGATCGCCCTAGGCCAGGTCGACCACGTGTGACGTCACAAGCGGAGGACCGTCAAATTGTGTCGACTCCGTAACCGTTTTTTTAACGGCAACAGGAACCAGAAATGAGCTGTTTAGGGGTCGATTGTCGGCACAAACCATTTTGACGCCATCACATCGACGTAAGTATTTGATGTGGGCCCGACGACATCCCCGGTGGATGAATCAAGACTTACCCTCAGAATCGCTGATGGAAGGATGAGAGTGTGGAGGCGACGCCGTGAACGTTATGCTCAGTGTTGTGTACAGGAAGTTGACAGATTTGGGGGCGGAAGTGTCATGGTTTGGGGCGTTTTCTGTGGGATTGCCCGTTCCCGACCTCCGGTTATCCGTGGGAACCTTAATGCTGCAGGATACCGCGACCAAGTGCTAGCCCCCGAACATATTCCATTCATGGCAGCACATGGTCCAGGTCTGCACTTTCAACATGACAATGCCAGACCACATACAACCATCTTGACCAGGAATTACCTGCAGAAGGCATGAATCAGCGTTATGGACTGGCCTGATCTCAGTCCAATCGAGCACAGCTGGGATGCTCTTGGTAGAGGTCTGCACAATCACAGGAACCAACCCCAGAATTTGCAGGATCATGGTGCTGCTTTGCAGGAACAATGGCGCCGACTCCCCAATAATGTGTTTACACGCATCAGACAGTCCATGAGGAGGCGTTGCTTGGCAGTTGTGAACGCACGAGGTGGCGATACACGCTACTGGACGTTTGAAACATCAGATTTACTTTCTTGTGATTTGACACTTTGTTTACGCCTTTTATTGATAAATTCCGTAAACACATGGAAGCGGTTTTTGGCATTGTAATTATTCTCCGTTCATCCTATCGACCTCAACAAATAAATGCTGACCTCTGTATCACATTCTTGTGTCCTTTCTTTTATGTATTAATATATGATTGTGAAGTGTCTCGTTTGACTCGTGTACATCCTAGACAATATTGCGAACGTACACTCTCCATATTTACAAAGACCCTGAGCTCATTTCGCGATTCATCTTAACCTTCTTTGCTTGTTTGTTAACTCTACATTCAGCACTTTTCCAGCTATATCACTCCATTCTGTAAAAAATCGAGTCTGGACAAGACAATCGGGAGCAAGTGTGAGATTGGTTTTAGGCCAATGTAACTCGGCGGGGGACACCAGAAATGGGCTTCACACGTTGTACCCATTTGGGGAATCAAACCCGGTCACCGACGTGACGAGCGAACGCTACAAACGAAAGACAATGCAATATGAAACGCACATACTGAACTAATGAATTAATCAATTAACATGTATGGTTGTATTTCGAAGAGTGTTGTGTCTTCGCTTCGTATGACAGAGTGAGTGAGTGAGTGAGTGAGTATGGTTTTATGCAGCTTTTAGCAATATTTCAGCAATATCACGGCGGGTTACACCAGAAATGGGCTTCCCATATTGTGCCCATGTGGGGAATCGAAAACGGGTGACGAGCCAACGCTTTAACCACTAGGCTACCCCACCGCCTTCGTATGCCAGAACTACGGCAGTGGCATTGTGAGTAAGCTATACAAAACGTTTTGATGTGGTCATGCAATGTAATTTTCATGATGCTATCGTCCTGACTGTCTTCTTTATAGGTTTGATCGAACACCAGGAAAGTTATCATGGGCATTGAGGGCACAGGAAGGTCAACAGACAGTCATCCATGGCTCGTCTACATCTCAACAATATTTGCATCTACTCTGGCACTTTTGTTAGGCTATACCCTCGGCATCATCTCGGGGGCCTTGCTGCTCCTTGCTGATACGTTCCAGCTTGACACCTTGTGGCAGCAGCTAATAGCATCATTCGGCACTGTGGGGGGTGCCATAGCTCTTCCACCTGCTGGTTACCTTGTCCAGATTTTGGGAAGGAAGAAGATGATCCTTGGATCAAATATATTGACTTGTGTTGGTGCCATTATAGCAGCTGCAGCACCAACGAAAGAGGTGGTTCTTGTCGGCCGATTGTTTGCTGGAATGGGAGCAGGTAAGCATCTATTTGTTACACTAAAGAACAGTGCATACCGGGAGCTTCTTTCTCACATCTGTCCACAAGGCATGTCTCAAAAGAGTGCTGTACATGTTATTTAAAGGTTTGAGATTAAGATTAAAAATGGCTCCTTCTGAACCAAAAAAATGTCTGACAAATCTGCCTGTCTTTTTGTTTTGACATGAATAAGGCAAACGGTTTTGATCGTTGATAAAATGTTACTTGTCAGGTCTATAGTGGACATGTGGTCATTTGCAAAGTGACCAAATCCTTTACCAAATCATTCTTTCTTGTGTTACTTTATACAAACGGCTCCAGTCTTGAAAACACCTGTTCCGATGGACTGTCTAAACTGTTTATTCATTTAACAAGTTGATCTGTGTAGTTATAATGGCCATTTATTAGTGCAGTTCGCTGTTATATATGTTTACGAGAGTGATAACTTGGTTCAACTGGTTTACAGTTTTGTCAGCAATTTCAAATGAAAGATTTAACAACGGCATCGAAGTTTCACATCTCACATTTTAGAAACACTGTCTTAAGTTATCGGTGAATGTTCATATGATGTCGGAAATCTTCACCTACTCACCATATTGCAGGTGCTATATCCCTCGTCGTGCCAATGTACATATCGGAATGTGCCCCCGTCGATATCAGAGGACGTTTGGGAACTCTTACACAGGTCTTGATTTCTTTTGGGGTGTTTCTGTCATCTGTTGCGGGAGGTGCTTTCAGTGGACTGGGGGAAGCAGGATGGCGGTGAGTACACTACTTGGGGATACATTCCTAGATGTCTCAATTAATGGATTTGTTTCTTTATTGTTTAACGTCGCACCCAGCAATATTCCATCTATATGGTGGCGGTCGGCAAATAATCGAGTCCCAACCAGACAATCCATTGATCAATAACATGAGCATACTCTAACATTTCCGCGAACGAATGTATGACGCCCATCAGCACTCTATCAATTGGTTTGAAATATTTCAGTACTTTTATTCTTGTTCCATCAGATGGATGTTCGGGTGTCCGTGTGCTATTGGTGTTGTCCACTTTGTGGGATTTCTCTTCCTCCCGGAGACTCCTCGGTGGTACATGGACAGAGGAAGAGAGGAAGAAGCTGTTTCTGTCTTGAAACGATTGAGAAATAATCCGGAAGAAATCAACATTGAACTCAACGACATAAGAAGAACTGTAGCGGAAGGGAAGAAGCTGAAATGTGGCAAAGGTTGGTATTGTCGTAATGTTACGTATCTTATGTTGTCCTGCAAAACATGTATTATATTGAAGAATTCAGTAAAACCAACTACAATCACAAACTATTGCAACCCTTGTCAAATATTGCAATAGTTGTGATTGTAATAAACTGATGTCCAAAAGAAAGTACACAGGTTGTGTTTCTTCCAATAAGAAAACAAAATTACAAAACCTTTTGATGAAATGGAAAATGTATGTTGAAGCACACTGCAATACACGTGCTTTATCAGCACAATGACATTGTAACAATAAACAGCGATGTAGTGATGATCACTGCAGACGGTTCCTACGATGCTGGAAGGTCAAGGCCATTCCACGCAGCGGTCGGTAGGCCCATACATGCCAGCAGGACGAAGTCGTCTTGTCATTGTGAATCGGCTTACGCGATGACCCAATGATGTGGCTGCTGATGACGTCACCGTCAACATCCAGTTGCGTAGGTGAAATACCCGCAGAAAGCGATCCTCTTGGGGTGTTGTGACTCTGGAACGTCAAAAAAAACTGGGTCGATCACATGTCTGGCCTGTCGTACTGAAACGGTTAAACAGCCGAATTATGGTTTGTCTTGTGCAACCCAATGTCCTTGCAATATCGCTGTTGAAAACACCCATTTGTGTCATTCCTTTTGCCCGTTCTTGTTGCGCCGACGTCAATCTTGGCATTTCCCTTACGAGATTTCTGTCAAGTGATTGTTCAGTCTTCACGACAAACAGGTTTTACACACTCTGTCAGAAAAGTGCTGGTGCATGGGACAATAATCACAATTTGCAAAAATTCGTGCAAAACACGTACAAATGTTTTTGGTTGCATTTTGGCAAATGAAACATGATGGTTGCGTTCTATACAATCAATGTTTTTCAATAATTTTATTAGTTAGAACGCATATTTGGGATTGCAACAACAATTACACCTGTGTACTTTCTTTTGCTCGTCAGTTTAGTTTAAACCATCTTTAAGGTTTTATAATTATAGTAATCAATGTTACGAAAATGAATATACAGACAGCTGCTAACAATGGCAAAGTTGTCCAATTCCCTCTGTAGGCGACAAAACCAAACATACCTAATTCCTTTCAAGTTTTGAATGTTAACTGTGACAGAACCTCACTTATGTTTCTTGTTTTATTTGGGATATGTTTCCACATGAGACAACGTAATAATTGTAAATGTTTGAACTTCCCGTGTATAGTTAACATTTAGTTAAGACATAACATTTGTTTTAAAGAACAATGTAATTAAACCAATATTTAACAGATTTCGGATTTTTTGTCTGATGTATAAATCAATAGCATGTTGAATTTGAAACTGTATTATTTCAGAAAACGCACAATACATTTCTAAATCGCTTGTAAAATACAGCTTTTAAGCATTTAAGTGGCAAATGGTTCTAGTTTGTTCTAGTCGGGGTGATCTCGATCCATCTCGTTATATTTGGAGTTAATCTAACATTACAGAGCACGGTTCCTCTATGATTGGTCGGATACTAAAAACGCCTCCAGTCCGAAGAGCGCTGATGCTGTCGGTGATCTTGTCTATGATAACACAGGTGACAGGAGCGGCACCAGTTATGTGAGTGAATTCTGTTTGGATCTTGATTCCAGTGCACACGTCCTTCCATCCATTCATCCTTCCACCCAACCATCCTTGCACCCACCTATCCATCCATCCACCCACCCGTCCATCCTTCCACCCACCCGTCCATCCTTCCACCCATCCATTCTTCCACCCACTTATCCATCCACCCATCCTTCCACCCACCCACACATCCTTCCATCCATCCACCCATCCATCATCCTTCCTTCCATCCATCCATTGATTCATTTATTCATCCATCCATCCATCCGTCCACCCACCCATCCATTCATCCTTCCACCCATCCAACCATCCACCCACCCACCCATCCATCCATCATCCATCCATCCACCCACCCACCCATCATCATCATCCATCCTTCCACCCACCCACACATCCATCAATCCACCCATCCATCCATCCATTTATCCTTCCACCCACCTACCCATCCATCGATCCATCCTTCCACCCACCCACTCATGCATCCACCCACCCTTCTATCCATCCATCCTTCCATCCATCCGTCCATCAATCTATCTTTGTGTGTGCGTCTAAAATGGTATGAATTTACATAATAAGCAGTTGTGAGTGCATGACTTAAAGGTTAAAGTATAAAGCGAGATTGTCGTTATTTGATTCATTAAACGAGACCATTTATAATTTATACATACCCAAGAGCATCATGAATACAATGTCATTTTAAAAGCAGCTTAGTAATACAAAAATGCACAAAACAACAGTGTTTGTATAAAAACTCGGACTGTAAGAGTAAAGCGTAAGAAAATGATTCTTGGAAAATTATATTTTGCAGGTTCTACACAGGAACGATCCTGAAAAGAGGCGGTTTTGCGGTCACAGATGCACTGTGGATGACAACAATTCCTACAGCACTGCAGGCTGTAACATCTTTCGTAAGCACGTGCTTGGTTGAGAAGATGGGCCGCAAGCTCCTGTTTCTTGGCGCACAGATAGGTAACTAATGTCAAGTCACGCTTGGTGACGTTATGACCATAATATTATATGGAGCTACGTCTTATGTCAAGGTCAGCTTAAACGTACCTTCATGACCGTCCACTATGTCTGCTTGTTGTCTGGTTTTGTAGTGAAAACCAAATTGTTCAAATTGTGTATTGTGGTAGGCATGTGACATACACTTAGATTACACAAGTTGCGCCACGTATTAGTGACGTCACAGTATTCATCCTCACCACACCTTGAATAAATATCCATCAGCATTTTCAAGATCCGTGACATTTTTGTTCAGTATACACTGAAAATCCACTGCATTTATTTAGCTTGCCATGCTATGGCAATATATTCGAATCGTTATAGAAAAATGACTCGTGATTGAGAATAAAATATCCAATTTCACTGTATTCAATATACACTAAACGCCAAAAGAAACGTTACCCTCCTTCCTTATTGAATTTGTACCTATCTTCAGCTGCCGTTGTGATGCGCGGACGTCCACTTCTTGGTCTGTCTACGGGGACCCCAGTCTATCTGAAGCCCTGAATAAGTCTTATAACCGTGATACAGTGGCATCCGAGGGCGTTGGCAACACCAGTGTATGTCGACCCCGTCTGCACCATCCCAATGGCTCTTTCTCTCTCTTCCCCTGTTAATCGTGGCATATTTCTCGCACTTGTATATCATATTATGCATTCTAGTCTCTCTTTATACCCTATAGAATCATTCTACACGTGACATTTATGCAAATACTGCTTGCATATTGCTACGTTTTGGCAATTGATATTGCAATGTGTAAAAAGAAAATGGAAAAATGTTACTTTGCAAGCATAAATGTTAACAAAGATAACTTTAGGTGTTCCTAAACACTTTTTCACAATATCAAAGACACGTTCTACTTGTTTTCACTAATGCAAATCAGCAGAAAATGTTATAAAAGACTGAAATCATGGGAATAATTATTTTACAATTTTACACACTCCACAAGAGTTGTTTCTTGTTTTAATAGTTGAACAATGGTCACTTTAAATGGTTTATCTTTGTCTCAAAGCAGAATTTTATTTCAACCTTTCTTTTGGACATCTAAATCACTGTAATTGGTTTATTTCGGCATGGCCGAAAATAGGACAAATTTACTCTTCTGAAAAAAATGCATTTCACCTAAATATGAATGCATTTGAAAAATTGTTTTCGTGATTTGCACAAAGCTGTGTTGTTAAGCTGTCTTGTAAACTAATCCCTTCTAAAAATCCTTGATAATTTTTCAGTAATTCATTAAGGAAGGAGGGTAACGTTTCTTTTGGCGTTTAGTGTATATACAAATGAACATATGTTTAATTTCAATAGAATACTCAATTCTACAGCAAATGTACATAATTTCATTTCATACAAAGTCGAAAGTACTGTTTGACTGACAGTGAAAGACACGTGGTATCATAGTCTGAACTTTAACACAAATCAACAAGACTTTGTTATCTGCATAATGTCATCAAATGTTGAAACAATGGTGAGTGTACACGTCGACGCATTAATGGTATACGACTACGAATGAGGTTAGGCGTGATCCGTTGCCATTTCTGTAGGAGACATTGTTCCAGTTGTTGAGCGGTGACGGGTGGCGCTGGTAGTCTTCTGATTTGTCGATCCAGGTAGTCCCATAAGTGTTCTATCGTATTCATGTCGGGAGAACATGCTGGCCACGTCAAAATGTTAGCGTTATGCAGAAAGTCGTTTGTACGTGTGTGACATGGCTCAGGATGGTTTTATCACTTCATTTCGATTTTTGTGAATTTTTATGTAATATAAAGTTTCTTTTGAGCACCAGTTTATATAAACACAAAATAATGATTTATTAATTTGTATGCCTTTCATTGTCAACAGGGCTGCTCATTTCCTTGATCATTCTTGGACTTGGCTTCTATCTGTCCACGACTTATTCTCCCGTCGTCAGTGATGATATCCAGAGTACCATCAATAACGCTACAACAGTATCCATATGTAATTTCAGGTAATTTACCGTATGTTTTTCATTCAAATTTGAGATGAATGGAACAACACAAGACTAGTTTGAGTACTTATGATACGAGTTATTTGACATTGAGTAAAATTAATTCTGTAACCCAACATTCTGAAAAATAGTGATACTTTTTTAAAAACCAAAGACGTAAGGACATACTGTAACTATAACGCAGAATGTACTGGCTGCTCACGAAATAAATACATTACCTGACAATACAATTTATTCAGCTGTAGACATATGACATCGAAAGTCGGGTTATTCATAAAAAGACATCATTTTCGTCTTCCGACGTGTCAGTGAGTGAGTATGGTTTTACGCCGCGTTTAGCAATATTCCAGCAATATCAGTCTGACCAGAGGTACCTTCAACCCATTCTAGGTTGTCTACGTCCTCATTAAAATAGTCCTCAAGTGCAAACGCAGTGTCATAATTCTCTACTACAGGTACTGATTATAGAGCTGATCAGGGAACTGCGCTGAATTAACAATAAGTAATACCCTGTGTGATGCATGATATAAGTACATTTATAGCTAAAATGGATATAATTATCATTAAAACGCCCGCATGTTATCAGAAATGAGCGGGCAACTGTAACTTGATAATGCCCCCAAATTGCTTGACGACGGGGCATTATCATGCCCGTTGTTAGGTGACGTCATAAGGAGCTCGGCTCTTGGTGTTCAATCACCTACGGCTCGCTTGAACTTGGGTTCAATATGGACGCTATTTCTGACTCACATTCGTCACATGTACCCGTGCCATTATGCATTTTCTTGACGGTGCCAGCCTTAACAATTGTACCATAAATTACAACATGCAGCAATGAAAACATCGACTGGAACTCTGACGTTGTTGAGCACTAAAAACAATGGCGGCTGGTAGTATGGGCAAAGGTCAAGGTCGAATGTCGTCACTCTCAATAGTGACGTCATCTGTTTTGTTCTATGACGTTTCCATATTTGTAAAAAAGTGTGTCAGTGACCTCCGTCGTTTGTTGTTAGCTGTAAATGCTTCAAAACCGATAAAGTTTTTTTGTTTTTATTTATCAAAAATTCTATCCATTTTAGCTATAGTTACGGTAACGCTATTTTTCAGGGCATTATCATTTGCAGAAGCCCTCGGTCTGTTCAACAGTTAATGAAAGACCGAGGGCTTCTGCAAATGATAATGCCCTAAAAAATAGCGTTACCCTTATACATTGTAGTATTATTATTTAACAGAGACAAAAGTTATTAGAAACGTTTAAAGTGAATGCAATATTGTAAGGCCAGGTTGACTGAAGGCTAATTATTTTAGAACATGTGAGCAATGCATCGACTCTTCACAATGCGGCTTCTGCTACGACGTCCTCTCAAGAGCTTCATGTGTACCCGTGTCGGTAAACGGCAGTGCTACAGCAGGGAGATGCTCTTTCAACAGTTCAGTCTTTACCCTCGAAACACAGGCCTGCCCCAGTGATTATAAATGGATTCCAGTAATCGGGTCTTCACTATATCTGGCTGTATTTAGCGCTGGTAAGGAAATGGACACAAATATATAATACTACATATCGAAAAAGTCTTTCCTGCAAAATGTTATTCGCAATGACTTGGTAATAGCACACAATTTTATTGCTTTTGTGACTGACCATTTTTGTGTGTGAACATTTCTGTGGTGTACAATATCATTTAACCTGAAATCAATTCTACATCAGCTTATTGTCAAGGTAATATATAGTGTTTCAATGCAGTTGGATCACGATTTCAGCAACGATTAAATCAATTATAATAAATGGTGTATTCTTTGAAAGTGTAGCAGATGGATAACAATTTCAGCAAAGACTAAAATAGTTTTAACAATGTATTGTTTGAAAATGTAGCCAGTACAGTTTTTCCGTAATGTCTACATTATGTGTTTCGTTTATACTTCAGGTGTGGGCGTGATCTTTGTTGTGATATCTGAAATATTTCCCCTCTGGGCACGCGGCATATGCAGTTCAGTCGCTACTTCAGTTATCTGGATATCTCAGATCGTGGTCACCATGACTTTCCTGTCGCTTGCTGACGCCATCACAACCCATGGTAATAACATTTTCCACATCCATAAAAAATCTGCCCCGATGAGATCGGGTGAGAACTGGTCTTGAGCAACCCATGCTTGTCTTGAGAGGCGACTACCGGGAAGAATAGCGAAGATCGATCCACATGATGTTGATCACTGGATTATCTGGTCAAGACGTGATTATTTTTTAGACCGCCTTAATATGTCTGGATTATACCTGAGTGCAGCGTTAAACAACAAACAAAACATCATTGTTGATTACTGTAATCTCTGCTTGTAGGTATCTTCTGGTTGTATGCGGGATGCTCTTTACTTGCTGTTGTCTTCATCTTTATATTCATGCCAGAGACGAGAGGGGTACGACTGGAGGAAATTGATCAGCTGTTCATGACACGTGAAGAGAAGGTTGTGCTGGACAAACAGGAAGTTGATAAATTATCAAGTCATTAAACAAATTACCGGACGCAACTCTTCATACTTATGCCATTGACATTACAACGATTAAATCTACAATCAATCTAACTTTGTGCAGAGATGACAATGGTAAAATCTTTCTAGTGGAGGATATACATTTCTTGCATTTTATGCCCAATGGAATTGTTCGTCTTGTCGGAGAACTGGTTATTACCTTGCGATCGTGTCATATTGTACGATTATTTTGGGGATTTGTCATTCTCAATGACACAAGCAACAAGTGAAAATATGTCAAATACGTCAGCAAGCTGTTACGTTACCAACGTACTATGTAGAGTTAGTAACCTTCAGGGCCGGAGGGGTTCGATTACCCACATGGGCACAATGTGTGAAGCCCATTTCTGTTGTTCTCGGCCCTGATATTGCTGGAATATTGCTAAAAGCGGCGTAAAACCATACCCACTCACTAGTAACGTTCAGGGATGATACGAGCACATCAAAGGAAGAGGCACCAGTTTCAGGCATATCAGTTTCATCAAGTACAGGATAGGAAACGTGCTTCCCTAACTTTTAGGACATGGAGCTACCTTCCACATTTCCCAACCACCACCCTGTACATGTTGAACTCAGTGTAATACTTGACCAACACCATCACGAAGACTATGCTCTTCCAAGGAGTGAGCGAGTGAGTTAAATTTAACTTCACATCGGCAATATTGCAGCCATATCGTGACGAGGAGTAGAATAAGAATAAGAAATAAAGCCGTAATAAATAACGTCAAATAATAAAACCCTGTCAACGAAGGACAGTAAAATAACTAGAGCATCACAGATATAGATATAACACTAGTTGGAAAAACTAAAACTTTTAACTATAGAAGACAATATAATATAAAAACAGGCTACATATTGCCAACAACTGAAGGTAGATCACCATACTGAGGACCATGGTGACTTACAGTACATTTGCTTCCTGCATGGGACCTAGCTGGATTTGCATCATCCCTTCAGCTGTTAGCAATTTAGAATAATTTAGCCATACTTTAAAAATACACATATTCTACGGTTAATATTGTGGAAAGTTTTAATTGACTTTGAATGTTTTGGCACTTACGTATCCTCTCAGGAGGCTCTTCAAAGGAGAAGCGCAAAGGTGCTTTATCACATATTTGACTGGAAATACTAACTCACACGCTCATTATATCAGATAATGTGGAGGATACTTCTTTCAACAGTTCTCATATCATCGAGCTAAGCAGATGAGTTAAACAAGATATTTGGCAAAATATTCTATTCATTTATAAGTCAAATCCACATCATTAATCCTTTCTCCATCTTGACATGCTGGCGCTGAAGTCATGAAATTGATATTCGATATTCTTTGTATGATTGTCATTGGCATTATTAGGCAATAAACAAATAATATCTTAATATGTGTTGTGTAATATGACAAAATTATATATAAAAACAAACAGTCCCTTACACGGAATTGGTTGTACGAGGCTGACTGTCTGACATATATTTGTGAATCATTTTCGAATAGGAATGATCCTGGGTGACCGACATAAAGAGAGTGTATTCTCTCGTACTGATGGCATCCGTCACAAACACACAAGGAGGCAAGTCAATTGTTCATGTAACCAAACCGAAACATGAGTCTCATTAACCAATTCAGACAATGACCTACTTTTCAGCCGATCCGAATTTTTTCGTGTGAAAGTGAAAAGAGACACTACAAACAAATATGGTTACACTGAATTCAAATTCATCGCTTCATAAGAAAATGGCATTTACAAATTAATCTTAACTTTAAAGTTTAATAAAATCGTGGTTCTATATTTTATGACCTGATTTAGGAAGCATGTCGTTAACTGATACGTCACAGACTGTCCCTGTTTCAAGAGGTCGTACAATGATTCACAATTCATCTGGCTGACTGGTTACACTTGTTATGTATTTTGTGCGCTTATTAAATGTAATCTTGTAACGTACAATGTGATTGATAAAACATCAAGTCCGTACCAGACCGCCACTTTTCTAGCGACCGAGCCTCGTTTTGAGATTTCCATGATTTCCAGATTTCCGTTTGTCAGAGCACGCTGTACGACAGAGCACGCTGCACTACGTGTTTGCAAGGATTAGAAGGAGCGTAGTGTTGCAATATACAAGTGATTAGATGTATCAAATAATACTGATTAATATCTATATATCCAGTTGAATAAGTTGGTCTCAAAATTCTGGACTGGTTATTGTACTAAGTTGCGCAGTAGAACGGAACCCAGTCATTGTGTAATCAATGTTTTGACTTGTGTGGTAAAAGGCAAAAAGGGGAGCTGCCTCTGAATCATTTTGTCGCTGATTTAAAGTGAATTTAAAGCTGATAAATGAAAGTTTACTTACTACCAGTATAAGCTCTAGGAGATCAATGCAGAGGGGGCGTGTCTGAGTGAATTAAGTAAGTCACGTGTGTACATACGCTCATACCTAAGCACTAATCCAACATGAGTGGGCTGGCTTAACGTTGATTTGAACACTACACCACTTGACAGGGCCCCGATCCACAAAGTGTTCGTAGCGTTACGACCTGTCGTAACTCTATAGTTTATCATAGACTAAAGAATGTCGTAGCGCTACGAACGTTTTGTGGATCGGGACCCTGGTCCTCGGTTCACAAAGCTCTCGTAAGCCTAAGATCTCGTAACTTTACTCGTAGCATTCGTACCTCCTATACTGTAACATAGGGAGTACGAATGCTACGAGAAACGTTACGAGATCGTAGGCTTACGGGAGCTTTGTGAAACGGTGTCCAGGACCCAGGCCTCTAACATTTACCACTCTGGTGACAACGACGGCAACGGGTATAGTGGTCACAATCCTATTCTACCAAGTCGTACCCAAGAATATTGGTTTCTGGTAGGACGACGGGACGCAACTATGTATAGCGAAATCAGGCGATCATTGGATGTCAATCTCAATTGCACATTATATTATCAATCTCAACTCCCTGGGGAGTTGCTGTACCCGCAACTAGGTGTTTGCACCCTAAAGCTTTAAGCTGATTGAGGCGTAAAAGAACAACAAAAATATCTTACATGTACATATATATATATATGCTCTCTGCCTCATACCATTCATTCACCTGATGAAGGAGTAAGGATATACCCCGAAACGTTGTGTCCCTCCTAATAAAGAAAAACTCCCTGCCCTAACAAAAAATTTAGCACTCGATCCCGTAAATCACCCCTTATGACACGCTCGGGTTGCTGAAGACTGCTGTTTGATCCGTTTTAAACGTCCATTAAAATCAAACTTGACAATTTCAGGCGTCCGTACTAACTTTGAGTGCACAGAGTTCGGTGAAGCCTCTTTTGAGGTTCTTGTCCCATGACTAAATTTATAGGTTAATGTATCGTGTTCGCCACTAGCAAACGAGGCCGTATAACCCAAATAAACTTGTTCTGCACAGCATGCAGTATCAACACAATACGCCCATTCATTTCAGGGTGCAACTGAACCGTGTGTATTCTGGTTTGGTCTGAGGACCCACTCGCCGAACTTATATCTCATAGGCTTTTTTTATCTTCTAATGTTTTAAGAGAGAAAAACAACTTTATTACATGCCTAGGATATAATAATTAAGTCTGTTTTCAAATAGTATACTCATTAATCTCCCTTTGCCAATATTTACAAAATTTCAAGCCTTTGTAAATGCCTCATTTACAATGACGTTTGCAAGCTTGTAAATCTAGTTTTTGCAGTGAATAAGCCTCGTTTGAAGCGATGAATGCAGTCATGCGTCTGAGACGACAAATCTACCCATGGGTACAAGTTTAGATTTATCCTACCTGTTTGTATCACACAACTGCCTATCATTTTATTTTAGAACCATCTAAGACCTGCATTATTTTGTTTTCCCCTAATATTATGGTGTCCAATCAAGATGCATTTGAAACACAGCTCAAAGCAGGTTGCTATAAGGCTCCCCCTGAATAGTTCACCTACATATTGATGAAGCCGGTAAACGAGTTACATTTGAGAGCTTGATGTCATGTTTGATTATACAAGGGATTAACATTATGGGCCCGCTGGGTACGAAGACTATCACACAACACATCCCTCAGTAGAGAAGCCCTTCAAGCCTTTATTTATACGTTACCTGCATCGAATCACTAGAAAAAATGCCTTGGTGTTAAGAAAACGCGATATCTTATCTATTCAACCGAGACAAAAAACAATGTTCACTGGCAGTCTGAAACCCGACTCCCTGGGGATACTGTAACTGGCAATTCAGATGGCAGAATGTATCATCACAAGGCCACCCAGGCCTCTATCGTGTATCACAGTAGTAGTAGAAGAACAATTTGCGACCCTACCCTAGTACTATATAAAAGGAAAGGGATGTAACGACGGAACCACCCCCTCCTCAATCTAAGTTAGATTTCACCGCGTAAACTATTTTTAAAGCCCCATTGAGGCCTACGGATCAAAAGCGAGATGATGTCCCTACAAAATGAGCTATAAATGGTCACAATCGGATCATTATTTCTAAAGTTATACGCCACGACTCACCGAAAAAAGCTACCTCCGCAATTCCAAGCCAAAATCATGGATCACCCAACACAGCGAAAACTTACCTTTTAAATTCGTTTATTAATTCCAGCCACGTTGACAGCACCTATGTAGGGCTAGATCGGCCTCGATCGGCAGCGCCATTCCACGGGTCTAAAACCTTATTGCAACATCTACAAATCATTTCCTCGACAGTAAGCAGACATTTTCTCCAGAACCATCGGCAATGATACTCACTTGTCTTTCTGATGCTGTTTCTAAGCGTGACACGCCCCTGTGGTGTCAACTGTTCGTCGTGCCTCACATAGTTCTACTGCGAGAATAAAAACACCCATTCTTTTAGAGACACATTGCCTCGTGTTGTTTCAAACGCGCTGGAGGTGTTACACATCTGAGAGAAATTGAAAACCAGCATATCACTGACCTGACTTTGCAATATCAAGCAATGAAGTAAGTAAATATTATAGTTTATATGACCTATATTTAAATGGAGCCAAACAGGACGTTTAATTAAAAATTATTGTGAGTCCCCATTAAACCAGCAAAATAAAACACAGACAATTCTACAATATTCAG